TGTTGAGGTCTCTGGTATCTGAGTTTCCTGAGATATCTGGATGTGGGTCCTTGTCTAACCACACAAATTTGGCTTCTTGGATCTGCCTGAGTAGTTTTTAACATGAAGATGAAAAATATGTATACCCAAGAGCTGCACTCACTTGTGCTCTTAGGCAGCTGCCCTGGCAGTCAGGGTAGCTGTGGCTTGGGAGAAAATGTTTTCTTTGTTACACCGGTACACCATTGTTATGTATAACTAGTGATGTAAAAACACTCTTTGGATAAGCCTCGAAAACAATAACCATGCTCCTACCTGAAGGAGCTAGATGGAAAAACGACCTTTGGCATATATTTTGGCATAAAGGTATTACCTTACAGTAATACAGGTTGTCTGTGCCATCAAAATAGTTTTAAAAGGCTGTTGACAGAAGGCAGAAAGTATGAAGAAGTGTATAGTATTGAAAAAGAGACACTTAAAGGACCTTATGTATTGGTACCTGTTTATTTCTTTTTTTGCTGTAAAGGCAACTCTCTRAACATGAGGTAGCACATACTCTTCTACTTTGTTGTGCTTCCTGTATTCAGTATCCATTGTCTTGAGCTGCATACAGCTAACATTGTTTTCTGTGGGTGCTTTTTCTTCTTTAAGAATAATTAATCTGAAATTTAATTAAAAAATCACTTTCCCAAACACAGTATTTCTTCATATTCTCGTTTGCTGTATTTAGACTAATTTGTCTTGACATTGCAGCTGTGCTGCTCTTTGTGTTGCACAATCTTTTGAGTTTTGTTTCATTAAGAATGGAACTAAAGAATTTGGGGAAGGGAAGGGAAGAAGTGCTAGACTGTTAGAAGTTAATTTGCCGTAAACCAAAATGTTGAGAACAGATTACGAAAGCTATGAAGTGACATGTAAATGCTTGTTCAGTTTCACACTTGTGAGAAATAAGTCATTTAAGCTGTGTGCACATGAAATAGAAGTTTGGTTACAACTACTGAGAATAATTTGGTCTTACTGGTATATTGAAAAGCATAGAGGAAAATACTCAGAAGATTAGGAATTGATCTGCAGGTTCCCAAAAATTTAAAGGCAAATCTAGCTCTACTGTTCAGAACAGCTTCATATGTTCTATCTGAAGTATACTGCAGGTTAGAAAAGTCATGTTTTTGCTATGCTTTTGGAGTCTGCTTTCTGCTTTTTTTTTTTTTTTTTTTTTTTTTTTTTTTAATTTAAAGAAAAAAGCTAACTACAGGTAAAGAAGATGCTTAACTTGCATTTCTTGAGTGGGGCACTGCATAATTTCCCTGACTGTTCACCCTGATGCAGCACAACACAATTTCTTTCATCCTCTATATTCTATTTACTGGTTTCTCCTCAGTGTTGGAAACWGTGGTATGTTTGTCTTGAATAAATGACCCAGCTCTGACTTCAAGTTTTTTTATGTTTTGGTTAAATGTCTTCCTCTGCAGCTGTGAGAGGTAAAACTGAAGCTTCAAGGATCAAACCAGAAGGCAGATAGTTTGATTAAACCACTTGACTTGATTTGAATTATTTTGGGGGCCTAGTTCATGACCTCTAATGCCATGGACAAAACACATTTTTTGCTTGGTGTCTTCTAATACTTTTTTTTTTATGGAGGATTAGCATGTCCATGCATCACCTCAGAAGRCTAATGTGGGCTGTGTACCTGTTCAGACAAACTCCAGATGGGAAGGCCACCCAGGAGGCATCTTGCCCTAAACCAGTCAAACTCTTAACTAGTTTGTCAGCAGCACAGCAAGCACACAGAATAGTTCAGGTCTGGTAGGCAGATGTAGCTGGAGCTGAAACAAACTAGAAATGAGAAACTAGGTTGATCTGGTTTATGTAATGGGTAGAAAAACTGGGAACCAGAGTATGGAGGAAGCTGCTTTGATCAAGGAGGTGTGTGATGCCAGAAACTCAGTAAGAACACTGATTTATTTGGGGATTGCTTTTACCACGAAAGAATAACTTCACTTTGGGATTGTTTTTCCCAGCGAGAGGAGGCTGGGAGGAGCAGTGGGCAAGCCTTTACTCTGAGCCTGGAAATGTGTCCCCCATAGGGTGTGTCTGCCTCTGACAGCGCTTGTTTTCAAGTGCTGACTCCCAGCTGCTGCAGATGGCTGGAGGATGGCAGCAATCGAGATGACTTTCTCTGACATCCTTTTAGTGGAGATGTTGTTAGTTAATTGCTAAGTTTTCTACATGTGATAGTTGTGCTATCTTTTTAGACTGCCACAGCTTCACAGTTTTAAGTGGATTTGTGGGATAGCATGCCRAAGTATAGGGGCTTGCTCTGAACTAGATGTCTCAGAACAGTGAGGTCTCATGCAAAGATTTCTATGAATTGCTAATTGTCTTTAAAGCAGAGGAGCTGTTTTTTTCCRATGTAGCCATAAGTGGCTTTTTAAGAGATGAGTTACATGAAGTGTCTGTAGTTCTGCTGCTGGGAGTTTTTCAAGTCTGCATTTGAGATGCTAAAGACGTCACCCCAAAGTGTCCTCAACAAGCTGTATTTGCCAATTTCATCTGGTTGAAAACAGGTTATTTTAGCCACAAGCTCTGGAAATGCTCTTTTTGTTAATCTTTGTGCTTTGGWATAGTATAGCATAGTTGAGTGGGCTTTCTGAAATTTACTAGCCTGGTTGTGTTGCATTTTATAGATATATGTATATATCTGTGTGCATATATATATATATATGTGTGTGTATATATATATGACTCTGAAATTCTCTTCTTCAGCCAAGCTAAACATAGACGCTTATGGACATTTAGTTAGAGTTCATCATATTAACAACAACAACAAAAAAAAAAAGAAAAAAAAAAAGCAGTGCCAAAGTAAAGATAATAGCTTGGTGCACTTGCTTGTTCATCTCTTGGAAGAAAATACTGATTCATGCCTTGAAAGTGCTAAGAAAAAAAAATGTATTACTTCTTTCCCTTCTTTTAACTCCCCCAAGACAAACTCCAAGGCCCCTTTTCTGTAGYTGCTGTGGTTTGCAGCCAGAGCTTCAGTCTGCATTATCAAGCTTTCTGGCAATGCGAGGTGGCAATCAGTCATTCCAGTGTGATGTGGACAGATAGCTGAGACGTAAGTGGAAACTGCTGATGGAGCTGACAAATGTTGGGGAGTGGAGTAAATTGTTTAGCAGGACTGAGCTGGGAGCACGGCTGTCTTGCAGGGATAGCACGGAGGAGCAGGATTAGAGTACACACCGTTGGTGTTGCACTGTGCAAGGCAGGCTGCAAATAAAGAACACTCTGTAAAACTTCAGTGCCGTCCTCTTTTTCGGATGGCGCTGCCCGATGATGACTGGGCTTTGTTGCCATGCAACATGGGAAGAGAGGCTGAAACTTTGTGTGCCTGGCACAGATTAGTTTAACAGCGAACTGAATTCTTGTCCGARGCTGTGTGTAAGAGGTTTAAAGATCCCTGCCATGAGGAAAGAAACAAATGCAAGGCAGCCTGCTCTCAGATTATTTTTTATAATTAGCTTTGTTGTGTAGTTATGACAGAATCTAGGAGTTGTATGAATCAACAGTAGAAAAGGCAAGGAGTCAGGAGGTCTGTTAATCTTCTATCATCTGCCAGCTGTCCAGTGAAAACACTCTTTTGTGTGGTGTTAGGAGGTCTGGATTAGTCATTTAACACCTGCAGGCAAAAATGTTGTACAAGAACATGTGAAAATCATTAGAGCAAAACTGTCCTGACGTCTGTGATTGGAAAATGCAGACAGCATAAGAATGGAATTAGATGGATTCAGCTGTAGTTTGCACGTCTTTTTAAGAATGCAGCTGACACAACTCAGACCAACAGTTAAGCAAGTAGGAAATAATTAAGGGGCATTTGCATTCTCTGAGTTTGGATACAAATGACATGGGAAGAGTAGGTTTTTGGGAGGGTAAAGCATTCATGCAATTGAGTGAATTGGAATTGATTAGTAGCTCTGTCATTAATAGATTAACGTACTAACTAGTCATGTTTGTGATTAAAAAGCATTGTCTGAAGTTCTTGGGCAATTTCAAAGTGATCTCACTGACAACCTAAAAGCTGAAGTACATCATAACTACACATACCATTTTACTARTTCCTTGATTTTTATAGCATATAGGGTGCTTTGGTTAATACTTAAAATGGGGAAGTGTTGGGTCAGCTTCAGAGGAGAGACATGACGAAGATAGGGGTGATCTTCCAGCAAATACCTTCAATGTGTTGTTTAAAATTTAGTTTTTTTTAAAGTGTTAAGTCTGACTTGGGTTTTTAAATGGAAGCAAATTTTGTTATAATCAAAACATAAAAATTGGAGGTTAAAGTTTCATCTTGAGATTTGCTTTGAATTTTTGTTTTATTTTGAAACWCTTAAGGAATTAGTAACAGAAATGTATACATTATCTTTTTAGCTATAGCAATGCTATGGATATTAATAAAGATAGAGAGTAATTTAAACTAAGAGGTGTTTGCTCTATTGTAGGTAAAAAGTAACCAGCAAAAACTCWGCCTCTATTTCTTTTGATATAAAATGCCTAAGGTGATAAGTTATTTGGATAAAACCAGCCATATCTAACTTTAAAAACACCGTCAATAATTAGACTGATTATTAGTACAGGTCTCAACAGTGGTATGCCGGATGGTGTAATTTCTKTGCATTTCTTTTTCTGTCTTTAAAAAAATGTGGCTTCCATTTTAAGGTCAAATTATCTCCTTCTGATAACTGGTCTCTTGTGGAAAAATAAACATGTCTGAGCTCAATTGATCCTTTAACCTTAGGATTTTTGGACATAGAATCCTTGCTGTCTGAATTCACAAACAAGCTGTAGATTTTCTGTTAACATTTTTGATAAACTCAAGTTCAAAACCTGTACATTTATTGTATTTCTGCATTTGATAATAAACTGAGAGATTCTGAGAACTCCCTGCTAATGCAACTTGTTCATGAAGTGTTTTTTTTTTTGTTTATGTTGTTTACATGTGCTTTGGATTTTTTTTTTCTTCATAGACCACTAAAGCATTCCTTCCCAAGATGCTGGAAATGAACCACGGACACATTGTGACAGTTGCAAGTTCCTTGGGGTTATTCAGTACTGCTGGAGTGGAGGTTTGTTAGACTATAATTCAACCAAAAATTTGGCACTTTTTGTCGAGGATAAGTTTTTTTTATATTATCAGCTGGAGAAAATAAGGTCAAATCTTCAAAGATATTTGGAGGTTGTGGTGCTGAGTACCATATAAACACAGGACTTGGGCAGGCATTTTATTTATCTGCTTGKGTGGTGGACTTGGCACTTGGAGCAAAAGCCTAGGATGGCTGGGGGTTTCAGAGTGCTAGATGATCTTTGAGTTACCTGATAAATTTAAGAACTTGAAAGGTGCTATTCAGCCTACTCCCATCAAGATCTTCAGTGCTAAGCTTGAAACCAAAGGCAAGAGCTTTCAAAAGAAATAGGTTTTTTTTCTATGAAGAAGTGACTGCAAACATTCTAGAATATATGGCTCACCTGCCTCACTTGTGGCTGTTGTGAGACTTGTCTGGTGCATAAAAGTAGGTTAGGATTAGACCTTGTATTGGTTTTTGAGTCATTAATACAAATGCAAGAGTGAACAAAAAGCATTCAGTTTGTGAAAATTAATTAATRTGTCTAAAATAATAATGGTCATATTATACCATAAGCATAGGCTTCTTTGCATATAGGTAATGCTTGATCCAGGACCTTAAACTTCAATGTTTTGTAACACAAATGAATGAAAATGGTGTAACTTAGGGCTTTTTAGAATGTTTACTGTCTTGAGAAAGCTACAACTAATTTCCTAGACTGGGTGTGGCCACCAGCAGAAATGGATCCAACAGAAAACACTAAACTCAACAACAATAAAAAATAATTGCATAGACAGCARTAGCATTTGTGTATCTCATAGAAGTACTCAAATCTTGATTGTGTCTTCTGTTGAAATTAACCTTAAAATAACACTTTTAAGATTTTTGCACCTATGCCCTGCCAGCTCTTCCAGCTTTTTCCAGTCTGACCCAAGGTAGTATTAGRTATCTCAGTCCTTTGTTGCACCATTTATTATTAAGCAAACTGGTAATTGGAGTAACTGGTCATGTGAGCCTGCCTGATTCAAAGACTTGAATCCAAGGTAATATCCTCCTACATTCAGCTTTCCTGCTTTCATGATTCTGTGCTAATTACCTCAAAAATAAAGTGATAAATGAGTTGATGTGATGCTCTATTCAGTGGGTGTCTTTTGTTGCTTTGAAAATCTGTGCAGAATCACCTCAGGTATGCTGGCTTTGAACAYCATTCATATCTGTCTTTTTTAACTTGCCTTTTTTTTTGTCTTCGTTCATTTCCAACACAGGATTATTGTGCCAGCAAATTTGGAGCTGTAGGTTTCCATGAGTCTTTGAGCCATGAATTGAAGGCTGCTGAAAAGGATGGAATCAAAACTACTTTAGTCTGCCCTTATCTTGTAGATACAGGAATGTTTAGAGGGTGCAGGATAAGGTGAGTAGAATTCTGCTTTTGCTTTGTGCTTGTAGTGTCTTTAAAGTATTTAAAAGTAACTCAACTGTTACCATAAAAATACTAAAATATTGTATCTGCTTTAGTATACATTCGTGTTAGAGATTCAATGTCTTCTATAATTTTGTACAGAGGCAATCCAGTTTTGAGCTAGAGTCTTTGCAACTTAACAGGGAATATGAAAAAGTTCCAGAGAAATTGAGTTAATGAACTGTTCACTAGGCTTCTGTGGTCCTGTATGTATCACATGAATCTATCTTAATCAAAYATTCCAGAAAAGAAATCGAGCCTTTCCTTCCACCCTTGAAACCTGAATACTGTGTGAAGCAGGCTATGAGAGCCATCCTTACAGACCAGCCAATGATCTGCACACCTCGCCTCATGTACATGGTCACCTTCATGAAAAGGTAAGAACTGAAGTGCCAGTATCCACAAAATACACGAGCATGTCCAGTTTCTGGATGCAAACACCCTCCCACCCACACAGGCCATAGGTGCCATTTTGCTTGAATTCATGAGTCTCTCTTGGCTTGCATGCTTGTAGGTTGCTTGCTTGGGAAGCTCCATTTAACTGAGATCCTGTGTATCTATGTATCCTTGTTATAACATTCTTGTACCTTCCATCCTCCTTAGATTCCTATTTTCTTTTCAACAGACTTTTAATTCCACTGTTTGAGCTCCTCTTTAGGAATGGGGCATGAGGCAGCTACCAGCAGAGGAACCTCTAGCTGCTTTTCTCTAGAACCAGTGTGTGTGAGAAGGCCCTGCCTGCAGATTCTTCAGAACTTGCACAGATATGGTAGATAAACTGAAAATTGGCACTTTCAGRACCAATTTTCAGAGTTGTAAGTTTGATGAAAGGCCTATTTAAAGGAATTATTTCTTTCATTTTAACACACTGCAGTTTTTGGATGAAAACTGTTTTAACCTATAACCAGGCTGATATTTCGGTGATGCAGAATAATGCACGAGCTGCTTCAATTCCAATCATGCAACATCACTTGAATTCTAATTTATGGAGAGTAACTTCACATGTGTCTGTTTCTTTTTTAAATCTATGGTGTGTAGGGGGAACCTATAAAACATAACATTGTAGTATTTTCTTTCTGCATGGTTGGTTGAAACTGAGCACCTTGGTGGTTTTTATTCCACTTACAAGGTGTTTGTTCTCCTCTGACTCAAAGGTCTCTTGGTGGACAGGCTCACCAAGAAATAGAGGTGTCTTCACTACTCACCTCTTYTGTGGAAGAGCATTAAGCATAAGTCCATTCTGACACCAGATGAAGGCCACTGTCAGTATTTTTAAGAACTAACTCCTTCACGCAGAAGCTCAGAGGGTGCTTCAGTGCTTCCTGCACAAGCCGTGCCTTACGCAGCAGCAGCCACATCAAAGGCCCTTCGGGGTTTCTTGGTTCAACACTTCAGCTTCCAACAGGGAGATCAAAGCTTCTGCATAATCCATGCCCCAGGCAGCAGCCTTTAGATCAAAGGCCCTSCAGTCACTGCACAAGTTGTACTGCTGGCACTGAGGACACCTGTATCAGTGACATCTACTTCTTGGTGCTTCAGTGGTCATTACTCCTAATGGCTGGAATTGCACCGCTTGCCACTGAACAAGTGTCTGCTGCTATTTCCAGGGGCTGAGGAGTCCCATTTTAATCCTTCACTACCCCTTAGTACTGCACTTGAAATGAAAACAATATTTTGTTCATGTGAGAACAAGGGGAGGATTTATAGCCAGATACCCATCACATAATCACCTCTTGGAATTTTATCTGGGGGGGGAAGGAAATTGCTCTCTTTACTTTGGACTTTCCTTCCTGAAGATGGATGATTGAGTTTAGAATATAAATCAAGGTTGTTAGACATCTAGTGATCAAAGAATGGCATTAACTAGCACTAATCCCACATTAAAGAATATCTTTAATGTCTGATGACCTCTGCTGATGTGGCTTTTAGCAGAAGCTTTGCTTTTACCAGGCYTTCTGTGATGCCCTTGCCCCCCTCTCCCCACCCCACTTCTTTAAAACAAGCTATCACACTGCTTGTGAAAAAAAAAAACAGAAAGTCTGGTCTAAGATGGAAGCATGTAAATAAGCAACTTCTTCCTCCTTTCTGCTTGCTTGTGTGGTTGGGACTCTAGAATTTCAGTTCTCTCTGAAAGTATCCCTGTGAAATAAAAATCCCTTAAGTCTTTTTTTAAAAGACTCTTCAATAGGTGCTGTGGAGTTTTTAAGGAGATCAAGTACGTCGTGCATATAAGTACATGTGTTTACAAGTGCATGTAAGGAGAGTTTGTTTTATGCTGTCTTCTAACAAATCTATAACCTCTTTTCCCCAGTATTCTGCCATTTGAAGCAGTTGTATGCATGTACCGATTTTTGGGAGCAGACAAGTGTATGTATCCTTTCATCGCTCAACGGAAACAGGCTACAAACAACAATGAAGCAAAAAATGGAATTTAACAATTTTGGATGGACTAACATTTATAGGTGAATGCAATAATGTTACATGACTGAATTGCAAAGTGCACTTGCATCTAACAGATGCAAATGTCAACATCTTACTGTGGCATTCTCTTGGGTCCTAAACCTGTGTATTGAACTCTAAAAATCAATGGATTTTTATATACTGTAAATAAAACTGACTAGAATACTCGGGAAATGTGATAGGTGACTCGAATGAATTTACAATGTAGCTGCCACCATTGTCCTTTAGAATATCACTGTATGTACAGTAAACTAGTCATACTACTTGTAGGGATGCACTGTGTGATATCTCTTCCTTAGTCTGCCAAGGCTTCTAAGAGCTATCTCCAACTAGAAGATGCAATGTTTCAGAAATGGTTTGACTTCCCTTATGTTATTTAGGAAGGGAGAGAAATCTTGCAATTTAAGCTACTGCTCCATGATCTTATAGCAAATTCAAGGACAGTTTCTGAATGCATCTCTTCACTTGTCCACCCAAGTTCTCTAAAGGACACATGGCCAAATTGTGATGTAATTCTCTTTTGTTGCAACTATGTGTGTTCTATTTAAACAAAGATTAAAAGAAATTTGTAAATCTCTGCYGATTCAAAGGCAAATGAATGTCTTACGTACTCTCAGAGCAAACTTGTACTGGGCATCTGTTTTTTTAGGAATGCAGTCAGTGGTTTAATCTGACTTTTTTCAAGTTGACTTAATTTGAAAAATGCTCTGTTCCATTTCCCTCTATATGTCAGAGTCCAGTTTACTATTATGGACTACATGTTTCTTTCTTCTTCCTCATTCTTACTTCTGACAGAGTTCTCCCACCCTCCAAGGAAGATGTTGTGTTAAATTCTCTAACTGGACTTGTGCCTAAAAGACAAAGCAACTCAGCTGAGATACAAACTGTTTATGTAAGTGCTGGTCATATGCCAATTATTAGCAAAGGAAAAATAGAATAATGGCTGATGCAACTCTACATTCAGAATATGAATGGGTGTAAAGATTTTCTTTTTGAGTTGTACTTACATCATAGAACAGCAGATGACATTTTTACAGTATTTTTTGTAAAGCAAACAATTTTGTGCCTTGAATTTGGTAATCTGTATTAGTGAAGCATTGTAAAAGTGAAATTCTACCTCTGTATCTTAATGTATACCATCCACTTGTAAACTACTATCAGAAAAATTGTGATTACTTTTTTAGAATGTCTTGTTAAATAGTGACCAATGCCTGTGGTTATTAAAGTGAGCCACCTTTTCCTTAAAACAGTGACTGGAATGTTTCTTTAAAGAGTGAACCAACACAAACTACTTGTGCCTGTTCCATAGCTCTTTGGTGTCAACACAGATCAAATATTTATGGCTCAACTCCTGTATCCACTTTGTCAGCTGCATGGTTTACAGTGTAATCACTGAAGACTTATCAGTAGGTACTGTGAMACTGGGCTTCAGACAGCACTGTCAGCTCCTAACTTCTAAATTCATTGATGAAGTAGCTGGTCAAAGAGGCTACGAAGAATATTAATTTTGGTGTTCTGTAGAGCTGCATTGACGTGTATGAGAAAATTATGTGATGTGGATGCAGTTTTAGTGAGTTAAAAAGTAAATACTGTTTTAGTGCAGCTGTAGTTATTACTGTGTATATACAGAACCCATATAAAATAAAAAAATTGGTATTTGTCAAGAACAGTGTTGTTAACTAACTCTGTTCAGAAACTAATTGAGAGTAGAACAAAATGTTTACATTAACCCTTACTCCAAATTCCATGCTCTTTTGAAAAAGTCATTAGAAGATTTCCCCAGGGCCAAATTAACTCCTGTGTTCTTACAGCAAAGTCACTAAGAGCAAGTACAAAAAATTTAATTCTGTTACATACCATCATTTTATTGCACATTTGTTTTCCTAAGATGTGTCAATCTTTTTTTTTGCTGTGTCAGACTAAGAAGCAACTTTTAAAGTTTGATGGATTGATTCTTGACACTTACTAGCCTGACAGAAAAGGAAAAATAAGTAAATACCAAGGTGTTCTATAAAGCATCCTGCCAATTTACACTACTGAAACTTGCTTTTAAAGCAAGTCTGTTAAGGCTTGTGGAGTTCTGTTTTAATTATTGAACGTGTGGTCATCCTGGTTTCTCTAAATTTACTACCTTTTCTCTCAGGTTTTACTACTTTTTCTCTGTATGGCTGGGGTGTAGCTTAGGGCTGGTGCACTCTGTGAGCAGGTTTCTAAAATTCATTCCCTTAACTTTTCATCATCTATTCAAAACTCACACATAGAGAAAAGGAATACCAGATACCTTTTAGTTTTAATCAGACTTGCTTTAGTGCTTGTGGGGAGGATCTTTGAGGCTGTGTAGTACTTGTCTTGCAAAGTGAGAGACTTCTGGAGGCTTGAATTAAATTTAGGCTCAAAATTTAGTTTGTTACKGTTTTTCATTCACATGAGCTGTTTTGAAAACTATCCTGGAACTCCTTGTCACATCTAGTCCCACCTTAGAAAAAAAAACTGGAAAGAAGTAATTTACTTGTCCAAGAAGGTTTGYTGTTGACTGGATGACTTCCCAATTGCATGGGTGATTCCTATGAAGCAGGAAGAGAAGATTTGTGACTGAAGATGGAGTGGGAACTAGGGTATCCCCTTGTTTATTGCCCTAAAGTGCTGCCAATACCATGTGGTGCTGAGAGTTTCTTTTAAAACTATAATCAGAAACTATGGGAATTTTGTCTCATTAGACTGGTAAACTGTATTATTTCACATAAAGCCAGCCTTGTTTAAGTAACTCAGATAAAAGCTGTAAATTAATGCTTTAGACTAGTAGTTTAACRTAGGAACATTTTCCTTCATTCTGTAGGACAATGCCATGGAAGTTTACTGTTAAACCCAGATGAGCTGACATGGGTGCACCTCTTGGTATTTTTTGTCTTGCTGTAACAACCCAAGGGGCTAGGSAGCTGATGGAAGTTTCCTCAGCTACCTTAATGGTGTAMGTYCATAGTYATSTAAACAAGGTTTTTGAAGATTGTTYTGTATGACTACTTCCCAGTAAGCAGGACAATGTGCATCACTTATCCATCTATATTAGGTCTCTAGGGTTTTTCCTCTATTTCCTAGCCTTTAAAAAGAATCTGGGGTTGCCAGAYCTCTAAATAGGGTGATCCCACTCAGTAATTGGAGCAAGATAGACATGTTTAGGTTTCAAGTATTTTTGCTTTTGGTGTTAGTCTTTTCTTATATCATGTGCTTGTATGTTATTTTATGTATTAATGTAGTTGCAGCTTGGAGCACCTAAGCTGGAGGCCCATTGCAGTATAAATTGTTCTTCTGTTAGGCCTGTCTGTGTATGCAGAATTGGTAATAATTAAATGTGTACTTTACCTTACATCATAAAGACTTGTGTAGAAGACCTAAGTGAGGTGAGCTAATCAGGAGCTTACCCGTTAACTTCATAATGAATAATTCAGGAGCAGGCATTATTCTTCACATTAAAACAGCATCATTGTCTTAACTTTTGTGTATAGACAGACCCTGATGAGTCTTGTCTTCAGCAGTAATTTGGGAAAATGCAGAGGAGTCAGAGCTGTGTAGTGAATGCAGATAAAGGAGGAAGTTACGTGCCACTATGGTTCTGGAAGTGTGCACCTGCTCCAGAATTTCATGCATATAARATCATTAACCTAACCTCTGAATTTGATTCCTAATTTCTGATGTGTCTCTGGATAGATAAGTACTCTATTCAGCCAAAGGAGATGATTATAATGCGAATGGTAATTGGGTAAGTATTTAACCTCAGGAGTTTGTTTCTCTCCATTAAAACCCAGGTTTGCCAGTTACAGAAACTCTGGGGTACTACTCAGTTTTCCATTGCTGCCAAGTTCATAGCACACAAATTATCACAGCGATGAGGTCTTCTAAAAGTCCTTGAAACAGCAGATCAGGCAAAATGGTTGATGAGGGCACTTCCTAAGCCTAATTTCCAGCTGTGTAGTCATACACCTGCCTTTCTCTGTTGCAAAAAAAAAAAAAAATAGCTGAGGAGTCTAGGGACAGTACCCAACAAAGTTTAAAATGTAGTTAGAGAAACCCCAATCCCCTGGTATGCCAATTAGCCTGTCTTATTTTTTTTTGGCCCTTAAATGCTGATGTATCTAGTGGCAGAAAGGATGGCTTTATCATGCCTTCAGTGAAATGAAGAAATTAATAGTAACTTCATTCAAACATAGTTTAAGTGGACAATCCAAATATTTAAAATAACTTTAGAAATAACATTCCAGCTTACATACTTATCCATCTGCTTAATGCTGACAATGCACAAACAATTCATTTCTTCAACAAAATAAAAAAAAAAGCTTTTGAGCTAAATGATGAATGTGCAGAAGTCAGGATCAAGTGTTTGTGTGTGTTTATTCCTCAGTTAAATTGGCGGGATGTTTGGTTCCCTCTTCCTAAGCAGGTCAATTGTAGCTCTTAGCTAAGGAGCCACAATGTACTTTGAAAAAAATTAAACCTTTAAATGCRTCCCTGTCTGTACAGGCTGACCAAACTGCCTTTAAAATACTWTTTATTCTGATTGAAAACATTTTGGCAAACAATGTGCCTGGGCCAGTGCCTATGGCGCTGGAATRACTGGAGCCTTTCTCTCCTAATCCAATTATCGATAAAAGCTGCTGTGGCAGTAAGATATGGGGAACAGTCAATGCTGAAGCATTTGGAAAGTTAGTAGCTGTATCTAGGGACAGGTTTTTAGTGGGAGAGGAAGAATGGGGTTCTAAGATGGCTCTGGGGATCTCCCCTTAGTGCCTGCTGTTGCAGGGTGTGTGCATGCACGGCGTCTGCTCGTGCTGACATCCAGCCCTCCCTTCCCATCACAGCTGCAGGCTGCCACAGTCCTGAGCTCATCCAGAGGGCTCTTCTATACATGTCCCTGAAATAACTGCATTTAAGTGTGTGTGAATGCTTACCTTTATATTTGCAATAAGCATAAACTGTTTCAGCCCAATTTAAACAAGAACGATGCTCTGGACTAAGAAGTTCTGCGCTCTGGGACTTGGGACTAGCCAGTGCCCTTTGCCTGTCATACTCTCATTTCCATCAACTGTCACATCTAAACAAACCCTTGGAAGATCATTACAAACTTTCATTCGGATATGACCACTTAAGATACAGATAAGCAAAGTTAGCTTAAACTGCTGTGTTCTTAACAGGCAAGTGCATTTGGATCCATGTTTGGAACAAACATTACCCAATACAAGTTAGGTCTCCACATAGATCAGTGGTTAATRGGCAGACGGAAGCATCCCATGGTGATTAAGGATGTTAGGTTTTCTTGCCATGCTGAGAGCCAGGAATATTGACCTCTGCAGCTGTTTTTAAAGGGAGCTTCTGCCTAGTTCAACCTTAGGCATGTAGGGGAAGGAGTTACATGTCAACAGTAGGACTGGAGCAGAAGGTGGAATTAAGGTCTTCCAAATATCTCCAAATCAAGCTGGTGTCAGTGCTCCTCGTTTTATTGGTGTGCTCTCAGAGGTCTCATCACTTGTCTGGTGGCTCCTATTAATTCACTGTGGTAGCAGCAGTGGTRGCCTCATGCAGAACAGCTCTAAGGGACCAGTGTCTCCTCAAGGCCTCTGCTTTCCCAGGGCTTGCCTGTGAACTGCAGTGCTTGAAATGCTGAGGGTTGCCAGCTTCTTGCCCAGCAAGTCCTCAAAGTGGTGGGAAGTAAGCATGAGCAGATGAAACCAAGGCATCCAGTGGAGACATTATAAACTGGAATAGTCCAGCAGAAGTATTAATGCGTGGATTTCCTCATCTCTTGCTTTTATCCACAATCCAAACATCACAAAAATGCCAGCTTTTCTCTGTTTGCATTGACTCTAAATAAAGGTCATTTGAACAATTGTTCTCTATATTTTATTTTTGAATTCCAGAAGTGATCACTTGTCCGATTCTTTAAAAATTCTGATATTTAAAGCCAACATGTGACTCACATAGTACATCTTCTGTTAGCATGTGCAAAATAAGGCACTCTGCTAGTCCCAGGACTAACCTGGGAATTTTGGAGGAATACTAGAATGGTTTTGAAAATGCAGGTTGTTCAAGCAGTCATTCAGTTTCTTTTATATCTTTATTTTGTGTAACAAACTTGAACAAATGAAGCAATTAGATGTGTAATTGTTCTTACTAGATGGGATAACAAACTAAGTAATGAGAGGTCTATGAAGAGGTATAAGCTTTGGGAGAAAGTTTCTTAAAATTATTTTAACCATATTTTAATATGGAATCCTTATTTATAGGCAGMGCACTTCTGAGCTTCAGCTGTTTGTAGGTGGTGTTTTCTCAAGGAAATATTTCATTTCACCTTTGCTTAAAGGGAGCACTAGTAGCTAGTAAGCCTCTGTCCAAACCAGGATGGGGATGGGACTGGGACTGGGACTGAGAGAGGGACGGGGACCAGAAGAGACTGTCCTCAAGTTCTTCATACTTGGAAGGGTGCTAACTTTTAGCTGAAATTAGTGGCTACAATAGACTTGGAGGTAAGTGTTCCCACAGTTTCCAACAAGCAGCTTTTACCTTTCTCTGTCTTTTTGGGATTATAAATATTTGTATTCCCTTGTGGAGGTTCTCTGAAGACCTAGAGCATCTAATAAG